GTACTGTAGATGCGGGTAAACATAATATGCGGCGAAAATTTGATTGGCGAGCGAGGTTGTCTGCAGAAAATCGGTATATTTGCCCGTATGCGGCAGCGAGCATGGGGCATCTGAATGCTGTAAATCTGCAGTGAGCATGGCCAATCGTAACTACTTGTCATGTTGTGACGACGTTTGATGAATGCATAAAGGGTGGCGATGTTTGTGTTGTGTAATGTCACGTCCATGCGCGTCGATGCATGCAGAACGTGTACGTGGATGTTGGGAAGCACACAGCGGCTGAGGTCTACTTTTGCGAAGGTGTCAATGTCGGTGTCATAATGAGCAAGGCGTCATTCCATTCGTAGGTCTCATAAACTGCACGTGATGAACGCACTTGCGTGGTTTCAAGTCGTGAAATGGAGTATTGGGCGAGAGAGGTCAAAAAATATACGAAAAAAAAAAAATTCTAACCCCGTATGCAGCGAATGCATTCATTAATCAAGATGTAGGACTCATTAGACGAATCGTGATATAATATATATATAATATATAATATAATTATGCGTACCACGTTTGTTTATTTGTTCCTCGTGCACTCACACGAGATACAAGCGCACAGTCTCTACCCACACCTGCACGTTTCCCATTTGCTCGTCACACGAACCGCAGCGGTAGATCCTCCTGTGTCAGGATACAAACAAAGTGTTCCACGTCGGCTGCTCGGGTCCGGCCGGCTCTCTATGTCTCTTCTGGGGAGGGGCTGTGAGGGTGCGGTGGCGCTGCCTGTGCCGGACTATTGTATATGACATTAACAATCAAGCAGCTCGCTTGTTATACAGTATATAGTCATATAGACTATACCATAGGTGCCGGATCTCTCCGTACATTAGCGTTTTTTTTTTTATCACGGCTCTACCGGAACCAGGGGGCGCGTCATAGAACATAAACACGGAGCCCCCCTTTGGGCTATTTTGGCCGTTTGAAGACTGTTGCCCCGCAAAAGGTCAGAATCAGCACCAACTTCTTGGGTAGGAGTACTCTACCAGGCTGGGCTACCGCTGCAGCTCCGCACCGTGGACGGTTGCTCGGGCGATCCTGACCGAACATTGATGTACTGCGCCGTTGGCAAGAGCAGGTATGGCCTTCCCGAGTGCCTTACAGAAGTTGCGCCCGAGGCAACAAATATGTCAAAGTGAGCCCATCTTCCCATATCGAAGCAGTTGTGCGTATAGCTGTTGCAGCGTGTTTGGGTGTAACCCACAGCAGGGCTGGATATAATGTCAACAATGCAGCAGCAGTAGTCCACTCCATTTTGCTGCTGCTGTATGTTGCGCTGAGGCTCCGTGGTGAGCGAGAAGGGCATGTTGGACTCCGTTTGTGCGTGTCATTTTTTTTTTGGTGCTTCACCACATCACGCTTCTCCCTGATGGTCGTCAGATCGCCACGAAACCTTGACGGAAGGCTGTACGCGCCACACCTGTAGGCTCTGCTTGGGGCCGAGAAATGTTGATCCATGTGTGAACAAAGGCAACAATCCATGCGCATTGGCTTATTCTCGAGTGCTTAGGCATACCGAAGTACGGTATGTATGTCTTGGTTTGCGAGGAGGGTGTGCGTTCAGCAGCAGTAGTGTACCTCATCGGCTTACACGTAGCGTGTGCATGCACTTGTGTTGTGGTAGAAGTACAATGTATCTGGTGGAGACACGCCCCAACCGCTTCGCTTTGTGGCAACTATCATATCTTTAGTGCGCAACGCTTTCCAGCTGATCTGGTGGAATGTCACGTGTGTAATTGCCGTGCGCTCTCCGGTCGTTTTTAAGTCCGGTCACAACTCAACCTTATTTCCCATACAACATTCAATATCTTCGCGCCCCCACCAGCTGCCCACTTGGCACTACAGGAACTACAGGACTATCGCCGATACTTGCGCACCCTGCTGACCCGCTACTACGCATCGTGGGCGCTAGTGCACTCGGTGTTTCTGGAGTTCAACCTCCGGTGGAACTTGAGAATGACGGTCAAGAACCGTGGCTCGCCCGTGGCGCTGGGAGGGCACTGTATCGAGTACCGTGGTGGAGTTGTTTCAGCGGGTCACGGGCGGGCTGGCACCGGAGCTGCCCAGTCCTCGTCCGGAGTGGCCGGCCACCATCGACTCAGTGGCTCAGTAGGCATGGGCGAGAAGAGTGAGCTCGCCCGGAGCCTGTGGGAGGAAGAGGCCCACGGGGGGCATGGAGTTTCCTCGATTAAGAAGCGTTGCGTGCTGATGTGGGCGAAAGGAACTGCTGTCAGCGGCCGAACCCCGGCTGTCGCACCTCACACTTTCCTCCAAGCGACACATACACGGTAATGAGGGGCAAGAGAATGCCAGAAAAAAGGGTCTACGCCAGGGAGGAGAAGCACCAGGGCCTGCTAGAAGTGAGGTCAACATGGGGGAGAAATTTGCTGAACCAATGATGCTTCGGGGCAGGCCCGTGGAATACCTACCACCGCGACCAGGCCCAGCGGAGAGCTGTTCCTCGGGTTCCAGTCTAATGTAAGAGAGCGCGGCTCGCTGGATAAGTAACAGAGGGAGCACTGGCTTGAAAATGGACCACCAGCCGTGCTGCTGTACTACTGCTGCAGTTTTTTTTTTCATCGCCAAGAAACGATGATACCACAAGTAGCAACACGCGCGCTCGGTTTTCTCGGCACTGCGAAAAGCGTTGCACAACAATGAATCACATTCCATGGCCCGCATCGAATCCACAATCCCATCGGAGTGAAACTGCAAGCTCCTAGCCGCATTGTCTTTCTCCCTGGGAACGATTGTCAGTACCGCACCACCTTAGAAATAACAACCATGGGTCCACCCCGTTGAAACCCGGTTGGTTGTTCTTCTTCGATGGCATTTTTGTGTTGGCTGTCCCTGCGGACAAGGTTTTGTTTCCAATTCCGGCTTCCGAACATCGTGTTGATGATGTGCTCCAAACAGACACAAACGCTCCCGTTTCGACCTTCGTCACCCGGGGAGGGGCTGCGTTCGAGGGCTCGCTTGGAGAGACGCGACATTTTCCTATTTTTTTCGGGGCGGCCATATCCTGTTGGGGAGCTGGTCTTGCGGGGGAGGGCGCGGGCGAGGGCGTTGCCTGGGATTAAGGCAGGGGGGTTGTTTTTTTTCGCCCCCGTCGTTGGTGCTGTGCAAGCTGCTGGAGAGTTCTAGCGATGATTCTGCGGGGGAAGGACACGTGGGGCGGGGGGGAGCGGTTGTGGCAAGCAGCGGTGGACGCCGTAGGCAAGCGTAGATGGCACTGCAGTTCCACCACACTTTTTTGTCTCCTGTCAACCTGGGCTGAAATCGACAACAGCGCGGGGGTGCCGTGTCCTAGGGGACGAGGCGTTTCTCCCGGAGTACTGGGCGGGTGTGCGCTGGTGGCACCATGATAATTTTTTTTCCGGTGTTACTGCGGTGAATGGACAACTGTGTTCGGTGCCTGTGATACTGCTTTCGCCGCTTTTGAGGCCAGCAGGTCGTAACGGGAGAAAACGAGGACAAATTTTGTAGTCGTGCTACAGGTAGATTGCGGGTTGGCAAGGCAAGGTTTCCTGTTGTTTTTTGGCGAGGATTTGCACCGCGAAATTGGGCGTGGCGAATGGGATATATCAGGGTGCGCACATTCGCGCTCGTTCTGCTAAAACTTGTGCTCCGGATGAACGTGCGGTGTATGTGTCGTCCCATTCATTTGCACTTAGTTTTTTTTTGTTTCGTCACCAGCCGGAGTCGTGCAGAAGGAAGCTAGGGAGACTTTGTTCACCTCTCTTTCATTTCGCGATACTTGCGGTTCATTTTTTTGTTGAAAATGAAAAGGATAGAACTCTCCCTTTCCATTGACCGTGGAATCGAACTTGTGACGTAGGGTATTCTACATCATCAGTGACTCTTTTTTCTCCCGACACGACACGGGTATACCGTCCGCACTGTCCCATCTCTGTCAATTGGCTCAACGAGAAAACTGTCTAGAAGCATTTTGCCAACTAACTCGGCTCAAATCACCGCTTTGTAGCCACATCTAAGCTTGGCAGTCCATATTGCTGCAGGACTCAGTGCACCTTGGGGTCAAATCTAGCCCGAGATCTGGGGTCAATCGTTGTTGCCTCCGGTCAACTTGCGTACATCCACCGTCCACAGCAGCAGCAGCAGCAGTAGTCGCGAGCTGGAGTACTGCTTAAGAGTGCCCATGGGCACTCTTGCAACGCATTTGTGTTTCGAGTTTCTTTAATAACTGCATCAAACACCTTCACGGCCAAGTGTGCCGGGAGTGTAACGCAAAAAAACGTGCGGAAAACGAGCATCATCGCGCAGAGTAGATGCCATTCTCTCTCGACTCTCTCATTTCGGCGGGGTTGAGATAACATGCCCCCTCCATTTTTTTTCGCTCTTCGCGTAAATAATTGATTATGCTGTAGATCGACCCCTACCCATTAAATTTGAGTCGATATGTACCTAGTTTTGAGCTTTTGGGTGTCATGATGACCCCGACAGAAATGCGTGTTTTCTCTAAGGTACGACGGTGAAACCTCACAGCCGGGCGGACCTTGTTTCGACATCCATTCGATTCGACACCTACCTGCACGAACACGCCTGCGGTGGGCAGATCTTTCTCCTCGCGGAAACCTGGATTTCTCGCGGAAAACCCGTCATGAATTTCGTTTCATGGACAAAGTACATCCACACCGAACCGTTGGTAACAGCAAGCTTGTTCCCGCTGGGGAAACTCAAGGGAATAGCGTAGAACGTGCTTCGCTCGTTCGCAATCAAACCTCTCTGAAGCTGTTGGCTCCCTTGTTGTTTGGGGACGAACTCCAGTGTTCGCGTTGTTGGCTGCTTCAAGCTTCAATTTAAGTCCTACAGTCAATAGGACCAATCCAACGCGGACACCACACGCGCAAACTGCAAACACGGCACATCACGAGATAACAGACCGTAAAATCGCCGGTCCATGCGTATCATGCGTATCACTTAAGAGCAACATGATCCCCCGAAGGTTGTAACCATCCACTGCTGGAAATGCAGCGACGTCAATACGTACGACATAATACAATGCCGACACGGATGAGGCCATTTTGGTTTTTGACCAAATAATGGAAGAGTCATCCTTCTCCGTGCTGACTCTGTTCGCCAACGGTACTCGCTTGTCGACGAAACCGAAACTGGTGTTAAAACCTTGGGCTAAACAATAGATGTCAACAACGACAAAGAGGACGGGTCGGGCACCAGTAATTTCGCGTAGCACCCCGCGCCTTCTGTTATGTTGCGGTAGCTCATGATACCTATTAACATCATCACGAAACTCCCTCCCCCCCTGCCCTAAACTAAACTGATGATGGTTTCTCGTCCTCACAAACTCTGCCTGACAAGCCTATTGCTTGCACTGTTCAACCCTCGCCCCGCCCCAATGATAGTTTCTACAGAAGACTAATCCTGCAGTGCACTGGCGGACAAGCCATTTGCTCACTACACTAAAGTATTCGTGCTTTGCCCCTGCTCTCACTGAGGCTCCTCCCTGTCGTCTAGGGCGGCCTCCTCCATGTTGTGTGGGGCAGCTTCCATGTTGTGTGGGGCGGCTTCCTCCATGTCATTAACGGCAGCATCGGTGCCGTGTGTGGGGGTCTCCTCCATGCCGGGTAGTCCCCCCCCCATGCCGTTGAAAGCAGCACCGACAGGGTCGGTGAGCCAGGTGAACCACCGAGCGTTTTGGGGCCCAGCGGGAGCGGGAGCTTGGACGCCGGCCTCCTGCATGCCGTTACCGGCAGCACCGATAGGGCGAGCGTTTTGGGGCCCGCCGGGTGGGGCAGCCGACTCCCTTCTACCCGGTCCCTGTGCGTTCAGCTGGTTTGCCTCATGAGAGGCTCTTATCGCAGCCACATCGATCGACATCTTCTTCAGGAGGCGCACCACCTGTCACCAATGCACATTGGGGTTGTTTGGAGGCGGGCACCGTATGCGACAAAAGAAGAAAAAGAGGCTGACGTGCCAACACAACACCATTGCATCGCATTCCTACAGCAGTTAGCGGCCGCACGCAAAGGCACCCCTAGTTTCGGCCGATGCTGGGCTTTTTACTGCTGTATTCCTAGGGTCATGCTATCAATGGTCGCGGTAAAGGTTTTTCGCGTATGGTTTCTTAATCGAGCTCACAAATGGTGCTCAAGTACCTTGATTGTGAGCTTTTCGAGGCTCTCAAATTGTGTTGTTACTGCCAAGTTATTTGCGACCGTCAACTGCTGTAGAATGAGAGTATAAACGCTCCGAGCCGAAGTGTTGCAACGGGAACATGACCCTTTGGTGCTCACCAGGATCTGGAACAGTGTCCAACGGAGCGTTGATAACCCCCACTCCCAGGTGCTGGTGGATCCCACTTCCCATCCACTCCAACCTGCTGGCAACATGCAGCAGCATCCGACAGAGGAAGACATTAATCTGGTGTCCAAACTTGTCATTTTTTCAGACAAGTCGTCCGTCTATGACACCCTTCACATCACCCAGCAGGCGGACATAGTCTGGTGTTCCCCGAAAGAAGGCAGACGCTGTCGAGTTCATGGCGCACGGTTGCGTGGCGTGGACTCTTGTCGCCCAATGCTCAACTTGTCGGAGGTGGTCTAGAATGCGTCTCAGTATGAGACAGGTGACGCCTGCGAATCCCAAAGGGCGCCCATGATTTGAACAGGAGGGCTGGCGGCTCCGGCTAAAACGAGCCAAACGCGTGGGAGAGCAATGCCGCACACGTAGCCGACAGCGTTGCGCGCGCATGATGAGGGGCGAACTCGCCCTGACCATCGCCTGGTCAAGAAAAAATATTCAAGGGCTGTCTGCTGCTCTGCCAACAATTTTTTCTTCGTGACGATTTGCTCAAAGACGAGTATGCATTGCATCTCGAGTTGTTTGTGTGGTATTCTCTCATCACACGGGGATTATTTCCTCACGCCGACCAACCTGGGGGCGTGGATCTCTGCCTGCCATTCTTTTGCTGATCGCTCGCGCATTTTGTGTTACGTTGTTTATCGAGTCTTGGAAGCCATAGTATCTGCTTCATGCAACAGATCGCGCGTTGCGTGGACGAACGCTTCGTTGCGGATTCGTACCACGTTGTAGAGGAGACCGGGACGGCGAAAAACTCACCAAATCATCGCACAATTGCGGAAAAACCAAAAGGGTGTTGGGTGTGATTTGGTTTGGTTCGGGCAGGTTGGGGTTGGGTACTGTTTATCTTCCAGTTTCGGGGACGCATGAGGAACATCGGGGAAAAACGCAACAGGGCTTACCCGAGCTGGAAGCCGCAGACACGGCCGGGATCATGATCAAAACCCCCGCCGCCGCCCTGGGCACCATCATGCTCTGCAGGGAACGTGGAAGAGACGGGATAACAAGGGCAAACGTTGAGCGAGCATGTTTGGACGGCAAAAATGGATGAGTGATACTAAAACGAGCTTGGGGACCGCACAAACGGTGGCAATCCTCAGCATTCAGCATTCATTGGGTTTCAGCACCCACAGAGTAGTGGTGATTACTTGCGAGTCGCAAGTTCTGACCCCCTGGCGCACCCGATTGGAAGCAGCTTAGGGCAAGCCCATCCCTATACTGAAGAAGTACATTGCAGTTTTTCCCGAGTGCCACAAGCAAGCGTCTTCTGCCGAAGAAAGCGCTCGACCGACAAGCTGAATGGGAGGTGATGAAAACCGCGTAGTAAGTCGTGCTGACAAAGAGTATCGCTTTCCGCGAAGCGACGCACGTTGGCCGCCAGCAGAACCTCGCGTAATGAACAGCAGGAGGCGGTAAACAAAAACTAGACAATAAATACTGCTGTAGGCGCAACCACAATACTCCGGTCCCACCTTTGGTCAGAGGGTTGTCGTTGTAGGGAGGACTACAAGACAGACCACACTCCTTATATGAGCCGTTGTTTTTCGAAACTCTAGAAAAAGAAACCTCCTGTCCCAAGGATTATTCAAGAAACAAACGAGGTTGTGTATCCTTTTCGAGTTGAGGCACCTTACCCAGATTTCCAGCTACCAGCATCTATCTAGAAAACAAAATCTACAGTAACGTACAGCAGTTGGAGTCCACAAGGACACAACGTGCTCTACAACGCCTGTAGTGATCGGAGAGAGAGGGAGAGAAATGAGACACGGGTTACTACTGCTGTAGGACCGGAGGCTGCGGCTTTTCTATCGAGGAACACTTTAACGTGTTGCATGTCGGATTTCGGAATTTCAACGGCTTGGTTTCTTTTTCTGTACACGCTCTCGAATGTACTTCTGCTGTAGGCAGACTCACGAGAGTATCTATTGCGGTTTAATGGGCCAGCTGTGTGTGCGGACTGCAAACAGCATCGCAGGCATGGATGTAGGTCGTCTAGGTGCCGTCCTTGCTCTCTGGGTACTTGTCCGCTTGAGTCCTGTGTGCGTGTGCTCGTGAAATTTCGCGGCCGGCCCTCTATCTCCGCTGTTGATATTCCATACCAGTTCTATACCCAGCGAGCAAAGCACGGACCCCTCATAGATAGGCACAGCCAACCTGCCTGCGGATGTGAGAGATATGGGCAAACACACCCGAACAGAATCAGACGTCTACACGATATTCTCTTCCTCGGCGTGTATTGTAGTATATGACACACACGCGGGGGAATGGACGGTGTGGATGTTGCACTGCTGTTCGGCGTTGGGGTGTTGTCAAGAGGTCGCCATCTCCACCAGCTTCAACTTCGTTGCTGCCGAAGCGGCTTGCTGTTGGAATTCACAAAAGGTTGTGCGCACGCTCGGTTTCTCTCTCTCTCCCTCCCTCCCTCTCGGTCTCCTTTGCTCCTTCTCCCTGTCCCTATTCCTTCTCGCTGTGACTGCAATGCTGTTACTGTGTACCATGTGTGTTTCTCTTGCCGTGTTCTCACAAGAGGTACAGCGCGGAGAATACCCGCACCTGTAAGTTTCCCATTTGCTCGTCACACGAACCGCAGCGGTAGGCCCTCCGGTTTCAGGGTGAAATATAATGTTCCACGTCGGCTGCTCAGGTCCGACGGCTCTGAATGTCTCTTCTGAGGAGGGGCTGTGTGGTGTAGCAGGTGGCGGCGCTGCTTTGTTTGCCGGATCTCCGTACGTTGCGTTTTTTTTATTTTTGCGAAGGCTCCATCGTCGGCATCGGGGGCGGGTGATACAAACACGGAGCCCCCCTGGGCAGAACTGTCCGTCATTGCTCCGCACATATGTACACACCTGCTCCCCAACGCCGCAGCACAGCGGTCTAGACTCCGGGTGAGCATGAGTGTCCGTTTTTGATACCTTCCTTTCAAACGTTTTGGGGGTATGTAGTGAGCGTGTGTCTCACCCTCCCTCGCTGTGTTAGCGAAACATCTCGGTCATTAATTGCGGAGGTAGACGCGGTCCCAACTCCACAACGCTACAATATTCAGCCGTCTGCTGCTGCTGTACTTTGAGTGGTCAACGCTCTCACCCCGAGCAGCCTGAGTTCTGACTATTATGACGGGATGCATCTCACGCCGATGTATTTCACCTGTGCTCTTGTATATGTCTATGCAGATATATTCATAGGCAAGTAGGGGCAGGATCGGCCGCCTGTCCACCAACGGGCGAGTGAAAATTGGAAGGCCTTGGACATTAATTAATGCATGTGTCTTGATTCTAACTGGTCATTGATCAATCATGTTACTGCTGTAAGCCTTGGTGGGAGGTAGGTTTATCGCAAGCCCCCGTGTGGCCAGCCCTACACGTCGGGTGGTGGCAAGGCCATGGCTGCTTTGTGCTGGTGTGCTTGTGGGAAGAGCAGGAGCTCTTGAGTAAGGCGAGTACAGCAGTGCGTTCTCGAGTTTTGGAAGTCTGCACGTAACCCGCTCGATGTTCCTTCACCCTCACCTTCCTAAATAGCGCATTCAGCAGATTGGGTGTCGTTCATGTGTACGAGGTGTGATGCTCACATCGTCGCACGAACAACGAAACCAAGGCTCCCGCAGTAGTAGCTGAGCTTGGTTCACGCTACACTGCTGCTATTGTTTCGCATCCGACATGTGCCCAAATCATCCGTTTCCTGCAAACCTCTTCCCAGCACGCACTCCACCGGAAATATCGAAAATGAACGTAGTCATGTGCGGCAGCGGGAGCTTTCGTGCCACCTGCCAGTCGTCCCGAGCATATTTATGAGCAATTTACTGTGTTGCAATGTGTTGACCCATCACCTGTTTCCCTTCAATGCTTGTGGTTGCCGCAAGCCCTCTTTGTTCAAGAAAGGGGACAGAGGTGGCGCTGAATGCGGGAATGTCTACGGTCGGCGGCGAGCCCGTCCTTCTCCACGAACTGCGACTCATAGCTCGGGGTCTTGTTTCAAAGGACTACAGAGGTCCATATGTCGAGGCCAAAACCCCAAACACCCAAAAGCCGCCAGCCCGGCTATCGAGGTACGCAGCCAAAGGGTTTGGAAGGGAAAAACGTTGAGGGGGACTTATCTTTTCCCTTGGCCGTGACGCAGAGTAGCCATTCGCTCCAGATCGGGCAGCCATAGCCGCGTTAGTGGAAGTGAGTTAAGAGCCGACCAGCATAACTTCTGTCGGCACTGCAAACGTGCCCTTCTACCGACAAAACACCCTACGACTGGCGGCGCACAGCCGCGCCTCGGTAAGGCAGCATACAATACCTCTTTGCGATCGCGCGACTCGGTGTCATACAGAGCAATGTCGTCTGTATCCGCACCGCGAACGGGATTATGAGTATTTTTGTTCAAGAGCCCCAAGATACTCAAGCGAATTATATGCCCGTTCTTTCCTCATTTCCACCAGGTTTCGGGTAACAACGATGGACGGTGCATCATCTGCAATTTGGTGCAACCCATCGTTGCTTGAGGGCTCTGTGCGCGTACCGGTAGCATGAGCGCCGTACCGGTAGCATGAGCGCGTTGCCAATATATCCGCAATGCGACGCAGTCAATGACAAACTCCGGATGACGCCCCTTTCGCGAATGTGTGCCAGGGGATCGCCAAGGTGGAGCCGAATCATCGTTTTGACGCTTGTCGTCTCAGTCATCCACACGAGCCTCGCGGAAAAATACAGTAAGTAACCCCGTACACCACAGAGTTGGAAGTATCGATACGAGCCCGAACGTTCGTAGTGGAAGCAGCAGCCCTGCAGCTCTGGCTTACAGATATGCACGAGCTTAGTCACGTGACTAGCAGTAAGCCTGTTCGCAATGAATGCATGCGTTCGCTTGCCGAAAGCCTTTGGACCAAGTGCGTGGCGGCGGCAAAGATGAGTTGGTAAGCATCTTACGGTTTCACGTTTGTCACATGGCGTGGCGTTGTTGTTTCATGCTTTGCAGAAACTTCGGAGGCTTCGGAATCGACGTGCGCGTCCAGCGAGCCGCGCTTCATTGTCAAGGTTGCGATAGTTGTCCTGGTGAGAGTTACTGAAGTTTGTCTGTCATTGTCCTGCTTGGTTTCCATTACGATGGCTCTTAAAGTAACGTTACTTATGCTACCGTGGCACCTCTGCTTGTCCCAAAGCAGCGAGCCGATGCGGAAAGCACAGACGTTTGCTTCAACTGTAGTATTGTGCCCCATACCTTAAAGGCTAAACATGCGTCATTCATCAAGCCCCGCCTGCGTCTTATTCGGATTCCCCGCAGATGCTGGGGCTTTTCTATTGGGCCAACCGGATTTTCGACAAGCTAGATGAAGCCAGCTACGCCCGACTTTCCCGTGCCCTTTCCCGCCGGGCACACGCGCGACAGAGAGCTGGTTGGGCAAGGAGACGTTGAACGCGTGACAACAACGGGCTCGCCCTGCCGTGCCTGTCGTAGACGTTTTTCCGTTGTTTAGCTTTTTGTCGTGCTGGGTTGGCCGGCCCTGTATTACCTGGAAGGAGCCTTTTGCGTACGATAAAAATGTTGTTATGACCGTGACACAAGTTCGAAGAGGAACTACATGCTGACATAGCGGTTGGGAGAACCCCCCACTGTCCTGGGACATTACGGGGCCATGCGCTTTTTCGCTTTGGTGAGATGCCAACCCGCCACATTTTGGGGGTTGGGCAGAACCCGAAACCAGAGCGTGATCTGGTAGAGGAGGGTCACGACCAGCCGAAGAAGCCACAGCACCGACAACAGTCGGACACAATTCCCGAACGAGCCAAACTCCCGAAGGGATTATACTGCCGTAGGAGCAGTTACACCGACACATGGGCCATGCTGTCGGGAATTCCCAAGCTCGGTACAGTAGAGCTTGGGTCTCAGTCGATCAAATGTCTTTTTTTTTCTGTCTGTGTAATTTTCGTTAGCATAGCCCACCCCTTGCCCGACCGGGTCTGAAAGGCCGATCTCAGCCCACACTGCGAACCTCCGAGAACTACCAGCAGGTCTGTGTAGCTGAGACGATTTCAAGACCTCTCACAGTCGTTTGAGCAGCTATCGCTTGCTGTGCAGCGATAACCAGTTTCTCCGTCGATAAGAAGGATCTGCGTTACATCAGATCGGCCAGATTGGTTGATTTGTCGGCCGGGGTCCTCTTTTTGTAGTCGTCTTCTTTTTTTCGCTGTCCCGCACCAGGCCTTGCTTGCTGGCCACGCTTCTTTCGAGATGCTGTTTTGAGATTCCTGACCTCGGCACACAGCTGGACATTCTCTGTGTGGTCGACATGGCCCCACGACACGTTCTTGTGGCTTTGGCATCCAGCGTTTGCTGTCCAGGAGCAAGGAACCGATAAGCGACGACAGATACCGTTGACAGCAGGGTGCTTATCGTCAGTATACCCCCGCTTCCCTTTTCAAGCCTGAAGCAATGAGCTCCAATAAAAAGCCAGCTTGGGACTAGCAACGCCGGCGATATTCGTCGGCTTGCTTTCAACAATCAGTAAATATCGGCGGAAGACGGAGCAGTCCACCCGAGACGGAGTCCGGGACAGAAGAGACGAGCCCACCAAAAGCCAACAAATACTGGCATGTGTCCAGAAGTCGGAGCGGCCGTTGAAGTCAAACGAAGGCAGCCACCGCGGCCACGCTCGGTACCTCTGTCGGTTATCGAGGGAGGAATCCCACGCTGTTGTTCGCGGAGCCCTGGCGACACTCGAGAGAATCGATGCGCTTAAATACCCCACTGGTGGGGTAGATCAGCTTTACTTTTCCTCCAACGCCTGGACCGCGCCCTACCAGACTTGTCCACACGGAACATAAAAAGAGCGTGTTCTGGCGTTGCAGGGCAGTCCTTGGACCCATCATAAAGTCGGAACGGTTCACACAAAGGTGCTGCCACGGCTGGTGGGGAAGACAACGCAATCTATCCCATCAGTGGGATAGAGATAGCCTTACCTTAGTCTACCCCACCACCGGATCTCACCCTGCATGACTAGAATCGATACACAAACACCTGCGTGGTTCATGCAAACAGTGCATCGGGCAGCAGCTAAGGACGATCAAGCACGAAATCCCCTCCGCACATCCCCGAGCACTGCCTGCTGTATTCCTGCTCACAACAAGCGGGAAGCGTACCTCGCAACACCTTCTTACCCCGGGTACGAAACCACCTACCCAACGACATGACACCGGCGGCGAGATGCATGGCGACCCCTCAGGTTCGAGAGTTGGGATCCTGTCTATTTTCTATATATTCTCCTGTAGGTTAGTCCTCGCCGGCTACTATGCATGTGAATGTAGGGTCATTCTCTCCACTCTCTCTCTCTCACACACACACGGCACGTCCTGCCCGCTCCATCCAACCTAGTCCCACACCCAGCAGTCGCCGTCCTTTGACAGGATCTCGTAGGAGTTCAGTTGCACGATGAGATCGTCCCCGCTTTCCTGACAACACCGGTTGGGGTGAAAAGCGAAGGGGGGCACTGTTTCGGCAAGCACAGTGACCGATGGAATGAAGGCTGCCCGAACTACGCCATGAACTGGTATTATTTCTCTCTCTCCGTCTGTCTGTCTGTATGTCTCTCTGTCTCTCTCTTCCTTTTCTCTCTCTGCCTCTCTCTCTCTGTCTGTCGCTCTCTGTCTGCCTCTCTCTCTCTGCCTGTCTGCTGTCTCTCTGCCTGTCTGTCTCTGTCTCTGTCTTTGTCTTTGTCTCTGTCTCTGTCTCTGTCTCTGTCTCTGTCTCTGTCTCTTTCTCTCTCTCTCTCTGTCTCTGTCTCTGTCTCTGTCTCTCTCTCTCTCTCTCTCTCTCTCT